AATATGGACATCAATTCCGACAGTGAAGATTTTGAGAATTTATCATTTTCTGATGATGGCGAAGAACATCTTCTATCTTCTATATCCTCTGATGACGAAGAGGCACCAATTCTTCAATCCCCAAGGATATGGTCAGCAATCAACGACCCACAGGACTACCAAAGGCCACATGAAGTAAGCGACTTCACCCTCCCCACCGGACCAGTGAACCCCCCGCCTCCAGGTGCGTCACCCATTTTTTACTTTGATAAACTCATCACTTCTGAAGCTGGGGATAATCTCATTGATATATTGGTATCTGAAACGAATAGATATGCTGAACAAGTCACAGGTTCAGCCAATTTTACTGAACATTCTAGATCTAACACCTGGGTTCCAACAAATCCAGCTGAAATGTCAGCATTTATAGGTCTGTATATGGGTATGGGCATTATACGGAGGCCCACCATTGAATCATATTGGCATGACAAATTTTCTTCATGGTTGTTTCAAACACCAAATTTTAAAACAATAATGACGAGAAACAGGTTTCAGCTCCTTCTCCAGTATCTCCACTGTAATGACAACAATTTAGCAGTCCAACGCGGAAGGAGAGATCATGACCCCTCCCACAAATTTCGCCCTGTCCTGGACCTTGTGAACAGTACATGGGAGGAGTAGATCTGGCGGATGCTAAGGTTCAAACCTATGACCCAGACATTCGGTCTCTAAAAATGTGGAAAAAAATACTTACAAACATTCTACTGCGCATCGTGGGTGAGTTCAATTTCATAAAATCAACAATTATACTTAAAATGAACTAATTACATGGAGAAATATTTGAAGCATTCTTCATGACATATGCACTGCAAAATAATTGGACAATATGAAACAGACAGGTTCTCATCCTAGCTGGAAATTTTTCTAGACCCCTATGGGCTTGTGTGGACTCCCCGCCCCCGCCCCCCCCCCCCTTCGCATTTCAAACCAGCTAAAAACAATTCTCTGACTCGAAAAAAATGTTTGACAAGCCTCCGCCCCTTCCAAAAAAATTTGCTCAAACCAAGGCTATTTTTTAATGATTCTTAAACTTCGGGAAAGGGGGGTCCGAATCCCCCTCTAAATCTGTGCATGCTAGAGTTGTAATGATCTGTCCATGCTAGAGTTGTAATGATCTGTCCATGCTAGAGTTGTAATGATCTTTCAATGCTAGAGTTGTAATGATCTGTTCATTCTACAACCGCGTCACATTACACATCAACTACTCTAATGAAAAACTAAAATGTAAACATATTAATGCATTTAAGCGATTTTTTAAAAAAAATTTTGAGCCTATTAACTCATATGACAATTTTCAACACTGTCATCAAAATTTATGCAGTGAATAGCTACATCATATATCAGCAAAATCGAGGTTTGAGGAGGAAAATCAGTCGACTGGAGTTCACCATGAAACTGTGCCAAGAACTCGTTGGGGAGTACAGAGCTGGCAGTCAGAGATCAGGACCGGCCCAGTGCATAGAGAGGTTAACAGCAAGACACTTTGTCGACTACGCCCCTGGTATTTCATTTCATACTAGTGCTGAGAGTAGAATTGATAATTCACATCCCCAAGTTAATCGTTCAAATATGGCTTAATTTCGTATCAGTCTTTTTTTATCCATTTTTGCAGACGGTAAACGTGGAAAATGCAAAGTATGTACGAAGAAAACACGGTTCCAGTGTTGTGACTGTGACGCAGCCCTATGTGTTGGTCAATGCTTTCGGGCATTTCATACACAGCGGTATTTCCGGGAACAATAACTGCAACTCATCTTGCTGCTCCATGAAAACGGGCGTGTGTGTCTGTGTCTGTGAGAACATTAGATCTGCATGATGACTGTATTTTTTAAACAATGCATTAAATTATCACATTTTAGTGGCACATGAACATGTACCACGACGAATGCTCTTTAGAAACTGTTGTTTTTTTTTAATACTCAGAGCTGCGACAAAGGAGGGGAGGGGGTCTGGGAGAGGTACGTACGTCCCATAAGCTATATTTTTAAAAAAAAAAAATTCAATAATCAAGTTAACAAAATGAGGTGTTTGAACTCGGTGCTTATTTTATTAGATTTTTACAGTTTGTCAAATTACGCGGACTTTTCCCCATTGTGACGCATTGCAAAGTTAAGGATGACGTCGATGAACGGTTCGGGATAGAATCAAAGTAGAACCAATAAAATCAACCTGTAAATCTAACACAATCAGCAGCCTTTTCATGATTTCCAGAAATATACTTTAAATTCTTGCTTTTTGCTCTTGTAAAAGTTCTGGCGTATGAAATACATAAATGTGACACAGTTCTGGCAGTAAGAGGGTTAATAAATGAGTAAGATTCCTTGAGAATTGAATAAATATTGACCGAGGCGAAGCCGAGGTCAATATTGATATTTTTCTGGTGAATAACAAACCATATTCACCACCAAAAGAGTCCATAATTGTTTTATTATATAGTCCGGATTTGAATAAATAAAATATCGAAGGCTGCATGATGATATCACTTTCATTTACGAACTTCTGTCGTGGAAAAATAAAAAAAAAATGTCCAGATTACAAGTTATATAGTTTCCGTGTTTTCCTTTTGCTGTTTGTAAGACATCGAAATGTTTAGAAAATACTCCTGCGATAGGCTTGGCTAATGTTTTTCCTGCTCAGATACACAGTGGATCTTTTCACAAAAAATCTTACGACATATTTATATCTTAAGTGAAAACTTATGATAAAAAGTGTTTTTCACAAAAATTTTTAAGAAAGTCTTAGGGCAAAATCTGTCGTAACTTTACGAGAGCCCCAACTATGAGGCGCCGTTTTGGTATTTACTGCCAAAAAGTGATATCACCTATTCGAATAGGTGATATCACCTATTCAATTGGTGATATCACCTATTCGAATAAGTGATATCACCTATTCAGCTTCTGAATAGGTGATATCACCTATTCGAATAGGTGATATCACCTATTCGAATAAGTGATATCACCTATTCGAATAGGTGATATCACCTATTCAATTTGAATGAGTGATATCACCTATTCGAATAGGTGATATCACTTATTCGAATAGGTGATATCACTTATTCGAATAGGTGATATCACTTATTCCTTTTGAATAGGTGATATCACTTATTCGAATAGGTGATATCACCTATTCAAATCAAATAGGTGATATCACCTATTCGAATAGGTGATATCACTTATTCGAATAGGTGATATCACTTAATCATTTTGAATAGGTGATATCACTTATTCCAATAGGTGATATCACCTATTCAAATTATTTATGAAATAACAACTGCTCCCAAGACTATAGCCTTTAATTCTCATTTACTTTCACTTTCGTTTTATAACTTACCATTCTTGCAGACAATGGATTACAGCTTCGCATTTAGTTTTAAGCAGCCCAGTAGAATTTGTAGTTTGTTTTGCTCACAAATTATATTTATTACACTTATCTATCATGTATACTATAGGAAAATTCAAAGGGTCTGTAAGTCTCGTTGACTTTCACTTTCGTTTTATAACTCCCGGGTACCTGAGCGTTCTTGGAGACAATGGATTACTTAAGTTGTAAGCATCGCAGTGGAATTATTAAACTTGTAGTTTGTTTTGATTCCCGATTGTTGTAAAGAAGAGGAGATAATGGATTGATAGATGCAGGTAAATAGCGTTTAATTGCTTTATTTTTTCATTACATAACGTAAACACAAGCTATTCCGAGGGGGCCAAGATTAGCCAACATACTTAAGCATAAAGGGAAAATTAAATCGTTTTTATTTTAAAATCGTCTGTATTCAAAAGGTACGCTTATCTACAGATTGGTTTCATAAATTTAAAGCATTGATTTAGCTTACAATATGGTATAATTTGGAGTATTGGACACAGGTATACATGAGATTGGGATATTGAATGCGATGTCATTGAAAGCAAATAAAAAAATAGATGTACCCAAATGCATCGACCATGGGAATACAAAGTTGAATACCACGTCGATAACATATGATCTTTGTAGAAAACACATTTTTTTAATTTAATTACTACAATAAATAAAAATGGTCAGCTCAAAATTGGTCATTCTGTAGGCTACCCTGTCTATTCAGAAATAAAAATGGTCACATACACTCAAAAAATAATTATTTTTTATTCTACAAAGAAGAAGGCATTTTTTTCATTTACACATACAAACTGTATTAACTGCCAAGTTTCATGACCCCCCCCCCCCCCCCCTTTTCCAATACTTCTACAATTATGAGACAGACTTTTTTTTCTTGAAATAGGCATTTTTCTCCATTTGTCATAACATATTACAGGGCTGCACAAGGTACTGAAAAAGGGACAGCACTTTGAGTGAATGTGTTATCCATGTATCTGCAAATGAAGCAGATCCCCCAGTTATTATACTCATGGAGAGTGTAACAACTTCCAACTTGTTAATGACGGAACTCCATTTAAATCAGGTACAAGTTAAAGTTTAGGCTGCACAATTCTTTATTACAATATTCAAAACTTAATAATTCAGGATCAAGTTCACACAAGCTCACATTCCATGGTTACTTACAACACCATTATGCTAGATAAATTTGTTATACACTTTCATGTTAAATAGTCAAATTTGATTGGTTTAAAAAACATTTGTTAACAAGTACTATTACCATACTGCATGCCAGACATTACATCCCATTGGTTGAAAATGCATGACTACGGGTAACAGTATATACAGTAATAAAAAATGTTAACTGTGCAGAATGTTTGCACGTTCGTTTCACCTTGTTGTTTTCTTTAAAATGCATTCTATAACAAGAAAAATATTACCTGTTTATTTTGGGTGATGTGAATTTCTTACCCCTTAAAAACCATTGCTGACCGAGGCGAGGTCAGCGATGGTTTTTGTGGTATAACAATTTCACGTTATCCTACTAAACATGTAATATTTTCATGTTATATGTACTTCTATTTGTAAATGTTAATGACTGTGAAAAACATAAATATTTATAAATTAGTAAAATCAATTTAATACACTATGAATACACAAAAGGACAAATTTGTACATAATTCTCTATGATTTGGTTAATTAGTTTATATAAAGGATGTAAATGGACATGGCATATCATTGTTAATATTCAAGAAAGTGTTCACTGTTTTTGTTGTAGATGCTCCTTTCCATCTGATGTTTTCCAGGTTTTTGTGAAAAGTTTTCTTAAAAATGGCACCATTCAACTACAAATACTATGCCAGTGGAACTGTGATATCAATCAACTGCTTATGACACTATTAATTGGCAGAGAATTTATTTTTTTTTATTTGGGACAAGCAATCTGTTTCAAACATTTTATACCTGCAAATTGGTACATGTACTTCATGAAATGCTTGAAGGATGCTAAAGGCTACTGAAATTCCAAGCCAGATGAAATTCAAAAGGATTGATACAAAAGTCATTTGAAGTTTTCTATTCTTAGTGATGAGTGTTTTTCAGGATGCCCTCTGATATCATAGGTACAACTGGTCACTGTCCTTTGTTAGTTACACATGCAGACAACTTATTAAGGCAGTGATATAAGTAGCTCGAAGTGATGCTTTATTGTTTTCCTCAGATTTATAACCTGGATTGATCTCTGATGCAGTAATTTAAAGCCATGTCTTTTCACTGTCACAAAGTACTGAAATAAAAATAATTTTGATTAAAATATTTCTTTTAATTCACATCATTAAATTTTTAAGCTACAGAAATTCAAATTAATTACCTATTAGTAAATAGAAATCTTTAATTGATTAGCAAGCCTTTGCATTGTCAGATCCTTTTCTGAAAGGGCCATTTACCTTTAACAATGTCAGGACAGGTGAGGCAACTGGCTGGTCTTCATGCTGGAAGTGTGTATTAACTCTGTAATCTTTTTAAACAAAACCATCCAGTGATGTCCTAAGATTGCCAGATGAGCAGACATATACCTGTATTTAAGAAAGATTCTGTAACATGACATAGAATTTTTGCACAGCTTGACGCACAACTGATGGTATCTTAGGTGCCTGCAAAATAATAAATCTGGCACATATTTATTTATTTGATACAAATCAGAACAAAATTTGTCCTTTTACAGAACAAATTATTTTCATTTTAAAGAAAAGAGAAATGCATATGTACTGTTTTAATACATATAACCTGTATTATTGGATATTTTCACCCCATTCTAATTTTTAAAATATTCACTCTTTCACCCTTGAAAACAATTTTGCCCTTTTAAAATTTGATCAGACACATTTGTGTTTAAAAGATATATGCTGCCTTCTTCGAATTTGTCCCGTTTTAAATTCACCTACTTGTAAGGAGGGCAGAATGAGAAAAATAAAACTTAACTGGGGCGAAAAATTTCCAGAACAAAGTACCATTACTTGCCTGCCTGTTGTACTATAACTCCTCCAACCTTACAATATTCTATAATCATTGCTTTCATGCGATACCCCCCAGTGGATTGATGGTCTCTTTTCCAAATTATATGCACTTTCTAAAAAGAATGAATTTGTCAATTTATAAAATTTAGTATTACAAGTTAATAAAGACAGTAAAACAATGTTAACAACATTTATATGCAAATGAACCTCTGTACAAATCACTTAAATGATTGACAACTTGTATGAAATATATCGAATACCCTTAATTTTGACATTTGGAAACCCAGCGTTAAGGCCAAACAAAAAATATGTGTGGTTCTGGTTACACCTCCAAAAAAAATAGGGAAGGTGGGTAGGGATTTTTTTTTTTTTTTTTTTTTTAACAAAATGATTTTCTAAATTTTTCCAAATAATACCTATTTCTTTTCGTTAGCATAAGTGAACTATTTTATGTGTAGAGTGTTAGATATGTTTTCTCTTAAGCATATGGATTAGATATGTGCTTTAATGTGTGAATAAAATGTCTTCGGTATTTAAACAGTTGTTTGCTGATTCTATTCATTCGAGTTCATACTCATCCAGAAAATACAATGTTTGAAGAAAAATCAGCATGAGCAAATTGAATTATTTAACTGTTGTTTGGATATTATATTTTCTTTTTTTAGAATGTTAAGTTTTTACGAAGATGATAAATGCTGTCCTTGTTTTTAAAGGATGATATTAATTTCAGAATTGTATATTATAAGTAAAATTAATGGATATCTTAAGCATTATACAATAAATCTTAAATATAGATCATGATTTCTCCATCGGAATCTGCTGCGGAAGTCTTTATACAGGTATATAAAATCTAAAATTGTATATTATAGAATGCGAAAAAACAGAAATAATTTGTGAAGAGCTGAGGATATAAATCATAACTAATAAATGTTTTGTTTATTTTGAATTCAGTCTTTTCCAACTATTGTTCAGAAAAGAAATGTTTTATTTGTGGATGAACAGAGTGAAGGATAAGTGGCATTTCGATGTGGCGTGAAATATACTAGTCAACATTGGTAGGGCGCACCCTAGTTATGAATATGAAACAAATATTTTTAAATCAACAAGATGTGTTTGTGAAACACTGATGCCCCCGTATGGCATCTTATGGCGAAGGTTAAAGTTTCTCAAATGCAAGTCAAAATCCAGGCCAAAAGATAAAAAATGTTAAATTTGAAAGCCCTAGCTGCAACTGTTCAAAAGTTATGGCAAAGGTTAAAGTTTTTTAAAAGTAAGTAAAACATCACGGTCAAGGTCAAAGTTGTTGGTATCCAAAGAAAGGTCTTGTTACAAGGATTACATATGTGAAGTATGAAAGCCCTAGCTCCAACCGTTCAAAAGTTATGGCCAAGGTTAAAGTTTTTCAAAAGTAGGTCAAACTCTAAGGTAAAGGTCAAAAGGTCATAGTTGTTGGTATTCAAAGAAAGGCCTTGTCACAAAGAATACACATGTGAAGTTCGAAACCCCTAGCACCAACTGTTCAGAAGTTATGGTCAAGGTTAAAGTCTCATAAAATTTTGCAAAAGTGGGTCAAACTCCAACGTCAAGGTCAAAAGGTCAAATATGATGGTACCCAAAGAAAGGTCTTGTCACAAAGAATACATGTGAAATATGAAAGTCTTAGCTCCAACCAATCAAAAGTTATGGGCAAGGTTAAAATTGACAACAGACAGATAGACAAACAGATAAACAGACAAACAGATAAACAGACAAACAGACAATATACCCTCGGGATCTTTCGATCCGGGGGCATAAAAATAATGAAAACACAATCTTTTCTTTTTGTAAAAAATAAAGTCCAAGGTGAACATCCTTTTGTTTAAAATCAGTGTTTATAAATGAAATTAATTACTTTTATCCAGAATAGTTCTTATTTTACTTAATAATAAATTTTGAACGATAAACTTTTAAGAGCTGTCAGAGGAAAAGAATGTGACACCTATACTTTGTACAGTAATGTTTAAAACAAAATAAATCACCTAAGCAAGATGACATAGAATGATTCAAATTCGTCAGAATTACAAATATTTAATATTATTAAAATTTTAAATCCTTTCATGAAACCTTTTTGCCTCATTGAAGACTTCATACTTCCAAGCTCATTTCTCATATATATTGGTGTTTTGCAAGTTGACTTTATTCAGGTGAAATCAGCAGTCTTCTTTTTCACGTTTCCTCATGAACTGTTTTTTTTCTACTTTCGGTTTAAAAGAAACGATCCTGATATAAATTATTTAATAATTCACAAGTTAATCTATCTTACACATTAGGCTAATTCTTGCGTAATCAATGCAATCAAATAAATGTTTTCTCATGTTACACGTGTATCTTCCCTCTAACTCCCAAAAAACGTTACCTGGCCAGCTGTCTGTGTGCTTTCAAGCGAGAAGTGATTTCCTATCCTGACTTCACACCTTTGCGTGCATTAATAATAAAGGGACTAATCAGCATGCACTTGTTATAAACCAGCTGTAAACAGAGCAATTAACTGAATCTCGCCACTCTTGGGCATATTTATTTAATTTTGGCAACCAAAAAACAAACAAACAAAAAACATGGCGCTGGAAAAAGGTATACTGCTGCGCCATGCTAGCTTGCTTTAGATTTAACACCATCAAACACTTGCACTACGTGTTGAAACGATTTTTGCATGGAGGTCGCCATTGCTGGAACTAAAACTAATACCGAAGTGGATGACGGAAATCACGGAAAATTCCGGAAAATAAATATGAAAATTGCCAGAAAAAAGTTAAGGGTCGGGGATCTAAAATAGGGACGGTCGGGTAACGGGAACCACACATATTTTTTTATTTGGCCTAATAATATTCCATACATGATTGAGCTGTCACCTGATGAACCTTTAATTCTTTTCTATTTTTTATATGCTTTATATGTATATGAATTATAAGAGTAAATGTAAGTCCAAAAACTTATTTTGTGACATCAATTTCATACCTGTATTTGAGTTGCCTTTTTGAGGATATACCGGGTAGATTATTCAAAGTCGATGTACATGTAGTCTTACATGCTGCAGTTCTCTTGTACTTTAGCTATAAAATAAATTTTAATGTATACAATTGTGTAAGATGAAAAAATATTTCAAACACTGAAACAGACTGAAACCTTAACAGACCAAAACTTTAACCAAAATATCCTCTATAACATGCTCTCTAAACTGAAGAGTATGGTCATATAATTGCAGTCATATGAATTTTGTTCAATGATAAATGCAGAGAGAATTTGCAGAATATATAAAGAAAGTCTTATCGTTGGGAAATAAGCAGGTCCAGTACAATCTCTTAATTTAGCTATATAGCTTGAAATAGCTATATAGCTTTATTAAGCTATTCAAAATAGCTTAATTTAGCTATTTATATGCAGTTTTTCACAAAAATTATTTTGGTAAGAAATAGACAAAAAGTCGCATGTATTTGACCATTCATATATGTGCTATGGGCTATCGAAACAACAAGCAAAATCAAAGATATCTCCAACTTTGCAACTTTTGAATACTTTTAAGCAAAAGATAAATTTCTATTATTTGAGTAACTGTCCACTACCTTGTGTGCATTGAGGCATGGATAAGTATGATTGCTTCTCATTGTACTGAATTATTACCAATCAATTATCTTCTTGACCATAATTGGCCTCCTTTATAATTTCATTGAAGAAGTAACTGTATCAATTGCGCATGTAGCCTAAAAACTTTTAGAACTTTGAGTACAATGTCTCTTTTGTTTCTATTTTCCTAATTATCTCCCCTTGTTTAAGGGTCACAACCCTAGTTTTAGTATAAACGGAAGCCCTTGGCCCAAGGATACCCTGTGACAAATTTGACAATAATTGGCCAAAGGGTTCTTGAGTTATGGCCCATATTCTAAAAAGTTTACGCACACCGCACAAATGGCCATAGCATTAGCTCTTTGGGCCTTTGGCTCAGAAGAGCTAAAAATGAACCTCTTACATTGATTTTTGGTTGATATTTTTTACAGTTTTTTTATGAACAATGTACAGTATTTTCACCCAAATTCCAGTATTTTGAGGACTGCTGTACAGTATTTGGGCCTAAAAATTATTACATGAATGCAAGGAGATTTTAATGAGCGAGTTTTATAATGCATCAATTTCAGATGAGTTCAAGGTTGAGTATCATCACTGCACCAAGGTGCGACTTTTTGTGCATGCTGAGAAAAGTACACATTTAAGAAAAACTGATATAAAATAGCTAAATTAAGCTATTCTGAATATAGTTAGAATAATCTAACTGTGTCTCGGGACAAGCCCTCACCACAGTTAGAATATGTCCCATATACTTGCAATGTAGCAAATCGGAGTGGATCCACTCCGAAATGATTTTGAAGAAGACAAAAGGAGTTGCATTGAAAATAACTACCAAATTAATCATAACAAATATTTTTGAGATTGTATATGCCTTTTAACCTACAAATTAATCCATATATATACGAAAATTCAACTCATTTTCTCAACGTTTTTTCCTCGCTTCAAATTTAACGCCATGTTGACATTCGGAACTCTCTGGATTCTTCATACAAAATGCAGAGAATTCGAGTTATCGCCCGTGTTTATTTTGCTACATTGCGAATACACGGAACAAATTCTATCCTTAAACCGGGTCCTTAGGACAATATCATTTTAACGATAGAACGTTCTATCTATTCTGAATAGCTTAATAAAGCTATATAGCTAAATCGGTGTCGGGTGGTTACGTTCCGATTCTGTGTTCGACCCGCGTGGTTACGACCCAAGTGGTTTCGACCTACTCTAATGTATATCCCTACATGTGAATACCTGAGTACAGGGGTATACACTGTGCGGTAAACAAATGGATATTCGGTAGCTGTATATTGTATGGCTTCAGAGATGTACATGTCAACAGGGACCTATATACTAACGTTAGTATATAGGTCCCTGGTGTCAATATAGGTAGTTGTTTCCGTATAATGTGTAGTCAACATGCAGTGAGAAGGTTTCCTAACATTTTTTTCTACTATCGCGGAGCATGGATGTTGATGAATTTGATTTAGTAATGAATTATATTTGAACAGTTTTCCATAAAAATTAATCAAATACTTCATCAATGTACCGTGATTACATATGCACTGTCTAAACATTAATGTAGGTTTCTCCAAATTAAATTACATACGATAATTAACACAAATATACGTGGTCGATATAAAAAAAAAAAATGTAGACGAAAAAATAAAATGTAAAACTGTTGAAAGTGTTAATTAATTTCGTTCGGAAGCAATTAATTGCTTTGGAACGAAACCACTCGGGTCGAACATGGATTCGTGTCGAAACCACGCGGGTCGAACAAGTAGTCGGAACGTAACCACCCGCATTCGCTAAATCAAAAGATTGTACTGGACCTGATAAGTGCTTTCAAACATTGAATACTTATAAAACTAGACCCACTGACATGCAACAGCTTAATTTCTGTTGATAAATGAAGCGTATTCTGAACAAATTATTTACCCAAACAAAGGTGATGCTGTCACAAGATGACGTTCGTACCCATCTCGCATCTGACACTTACACTACTCCTCCTTAATCAGCTGGTAATAACATCATTATCCTCGAATTCAAGAAAAATCTGTTAATAAATTAGTTGTAATGATGATAACAAAACTGTTCTAATCAGATACAAATGTATAATATAAGACTTCTATTTCACCCAAGAATACACAAGAAACAGGTGACATTCTCTGACTTGTTTACCTGTACTTCGATCGAAATTCTCCTCCTACTTGCTCGCACCCAAGCTTTTACGACACTCAATTTATCCATCGTAAGTCGGAGAACCCTTCGGCTTTGTACAACTGCTTAAACTTTCCTTATACGCTTTGTGTAAACCATAAACATGCATAACCCAATACACATCTTGCATCTCCATGTGTGAGGTACCCGGAAGTTAATATTATCGAAAAATCTCGCGAGTCACGTGACGAGACTAAAAGACCCTAATGCAGCCCGAATTTGCTTGGTTCCAATGAAAATGTAGATAATCTTGAGGAAGGGAGCATTCATTATTTATTGTTGTAAGAAATGCAAATAGGTGATATCACCTATTCGAATTGGTGATATCACCTATTCAAATTGAATAGGTGATATCACTTATTCGAATAGGTGATATCACTTATTCGAATAGGTGATATCACCTATTCAGCACGAATAGGTGATATCACCTATTCGAATAGGTGATATCACCTATTCATTTCGAATAGGTGATATCACCTATTCGAATAGGTGATATCATCAATTCGAATAAGTGATATCACCTATTCGAATAGGTGATATCACCTATTCAATTTGAATAGGTGATATCACTTATTCGAATAGGTGATATCACCTATTCGAATAGGTGATATCACCTATTCGAATAGGTGATATCACTTTTTGGCAGTAAATACCAAAACGGCGCCTCATACCCAACCCTCTCTTAAGTATTTTAAAACCGATTTTATTGTAAAAATATAACCGCGAAAACCAAAATACACGTTAAATTGAACTTCGTAAAGCAACTTAAAATAATAATTTATATTTTTTTCAGTCATTGTCGAAAAATTAAGTGAAATACACTACAAAATATTTACGATGTAAATTTCACTTAAGATTTTCGTATGATGACCTTGTGACGTCAGATTTTAAACTTCCTTGCTTCACAAACGATTGCATTCGATATTTGTTGTCAATTACGTTTGTTATGCTGACAAATCTGCTACGAATGCGTTCGTGAAACGCACTTAAGATTTGTTGTAAGAGATTCTTAAGTTAAAATCTTACGCAAAAACGGCCGTTGCAACCATTGTTTACAACGTTGTTTGAGGTGTTGATTGTGACGTTGCAATGCTGCTCCACGCGCACTCACCCTCCGGTGAATACGGCTTCAAAACCAGTGAATATGTAGTGTTACGAACTGTTTGCGTTTGTATAGATTATATAGAGACTATAAATAGACTATATAATATATAATATTATTGCAAAATTATAATTTGTACGTATCCTTGACAAAATGAACGGTTGTTATAACACTATAGTATAGTGAGACCCCCCTCCGCCCAAAACTGGCTATATATATAGTGAACCTTCTTCCGGGGAAGTCTCACATATAATTATTTTTCCTGAAGGAAGACTCACTATTAAGCCATTCCGCTGCCCTTTTAAGCGAGGTTTCCCTCTCCAGTTTAATTTCCGGAAACCTCTTTTCGGTCTTGTGTGAACGGGGAGGGCACTTGGCTGATGTTTTTCCTGCTCAAATACACTTTTGTTGATTAGGGGATTTATATACAATAAAGCTTCCTTTTCCCCAAGGAAAAAGGCTCAAAATTATGTCCAGCCTTCTGGGAGAAGTCTCACAATGGGGGAAGCATCACTATAGCTGGTTAGGGAAAAGAGTCAACATGTAGCCTCTCTTCCCCCAGGGAGAAAACTCATTAAGTAGCCAGCCTTCTCGGTAGGAAGTTTCACTATGAGGGAAGCATCACTGTTGTTGATAAGGGGGAAGAGTCACTATGTAGCTTCTCTTCCCCCAGGGTGAAGGCTCACTGTGTAGCCAGCTGGAGAGGAAGACTTAATATATAACATCGTCACTGGAAGGTGGGGGAAATGTGATCTCCGTTCTATATTTATCAAGCTATCGACTGAAAAATCACAGGTCTACTACAAATATATGCGACAAGTAACTCAGGTGGTGTAAATATGTCTCGGGTTTCAGAGTGTATACTGTCAACACAACATTCAAAGATGTTTTATATAAAAACTGGAAGTGATACATAATTACATATAAATCGTATTAGTGTCAATTCAAACTAAAAGCTCTAGGTAGATAAAGCATAAAAACTTAAAGAATCTTTGACGTGACAGATACTTCTCGTACTTAGTGTAAAACCAACATCACAAGACCAGAGCCAGTCCGGATCTTTCAAAAGAGTTGGAAAATACCATAATGATTAGTGACTTCAATATCTCGAGGAACGGAACAACACCGGATGGAATTTCAAGTTTAGGGTCCTTCCAGTTTATATTTGGCCTACCAATTTTCGTTATGAATGTTATGTCCACTGCCGTGCTACTAAAAAGCACAAAACTCAAGTTCAATATCCGCATTCCAACATTACAAATGGCTGTTTCTGATATGTGTCTGGGTATAGTTTTGTGCATTCCGAACACCTTGATGCTGAATCCAGCCATGTGCATAACTAAGAGATACTTTATAATGGCATTCTACCTTTTTGGGGCTTTCATTATAACAATTATGAACATGGACAGACTTATTTCACTCCGATTTCCTTATCATTATTTCAACATTATGACACGTGGTAATATGATGACTGCCTGTGTTCTATCATGGATTGCTGCATTTCTGTTGCCAATACTGGAAAATAACTGTCATCGTCAAATCATGCTCACAGAGAGGGAACCATTTCAATGGTCACTTATTGTAAACCTTCTACTTATATTCATTAACATTCTTGAATATGCTTACTTAATGAAATACGCCATGAAGGGTACCCCGACAAAGAAATTTTTAGCATTCAAAGGAAACAAAAGATGCGCTTTTAGGATCTCCCTTTTCACCGGATGTTTTGTAGCGTGCATCCTGCCGTCGCTCATTGCCAACACAATAAGCGCCATTAAAGACGACCAAGATTCAGTAGTTTTAGCGAAAGTCAGAGTCATATTTTCAGCTATGGCACTGATGAACTCTCTAATGAATCCAGTTCTATACTGTGCTCTTTTCAAGGAATGCCACTTCCAGATAGTTAATATATTCTGCTTTTGGAATCAGTCCTTGTCAGAAAAGAATAAGACCAGGAGAAAAATTTTCTTCTGCACTTATTCTTTACAACCAGATACTCCCCGAGGTATTTATCCTATAAACTGAGGACGAGAGGATCATTGAGAACTATAGGCTTTTTCTACATATTTGGGAGAGAAAAGAATGGGTCTTTTTGTTAAACAAGAATTTGAACAATAATGAAATGTTATGGATTTTAAACAACGTTAAATTCAACATATTCATGTTATCTTTTTTTGAGAACTTTTAAATGCACATGTATTTGTTGTAGTGAATTTTTCATGGAAGTAGATGTATATGTATTTTTTATTAGGTCTTCCGTTTTCAACGGAAGACCTATAGTGATTCTACTGTTTCTTATTAGGGTCTTCCGTCTTCTGCGGAAGACCCTTCTATTATTCTATTGTTGATTTTTCACTTTTCTTTTTAGGGTCTTCCGTCTTCAGCGGAAGACCCTTCTATTACTCTTCGGTTTCTTTTTTACCTTTATTAGGGTCTTCCGTCTTCAGCGGAAGACCCTTCTATTATTCTTCGGTTTCTTTTTCACTTTTATTATTATTATTTTTATTCTTTTTTCTTCTTACAAATTTTGTGCAGACGATTTCTCGGAGATGGCTTGTTCAATTTCATTCAAATTTTCACGGTAGATGCGTTGACATCTGAAGTTAATTCCGGCAATTCCGTTAAGGGATATTAACTTCCGGTCGGAAGTTATCGCCCTTTTATCAAAATTTAGAGGACCTCCTTGTCTGTGATGGAACTCAAAAACGGCTTAAGCTAGAGCGCTGAAATTTTCAGTGATGATAGAGGACATGTTGCCATTTTGCACCTGGGTTTGGATATTTTCCGGAAGTGCCTAGTATGAAAGCTCGGTAGGGGTCAAAATTTAGGACACGAAACATGAGTGAATTTTTGAGACATTTTGTATCATATCTTTTAAAGTGTAATTATTTTGTTAAGACATACTGAACAATATTTGTGCAGAATGACAAGATCTTTATTATGATATCAAGAAAAAAGGGCTGACTTATCATATTAGGGGCCGAGAGGGGCCAAAAGTATTAAATCAATAACTCTTTAACAAACAATATTTTGGTATACATTACTGAAGCAAAAATGTTTATCTTAACAATTTACAACTATTTATTATAATAGTTTATGTCATATGTTACATGATTAGGGGCCATAAGGGGCCAGAATGCTAAATCTTTGACGCTTTATATCTTATAACTATGAAATATTTTGATAAGCAATATTGAACAAAAGATGTTCAAAATAATGTTCTAAACAATATGCAACCTTTCATTTTTTTGCTAAACGTCCCCATTAAGGAGTTGAAGGATCGGCCCCTAAATACTTCTTTAGCAAATATCTCAGAAACGAAAAAGAATTTCTGACTAGTTGTTGAACAAAAAGTGTTCAAAATTATGAGAGCTTTAAAGTGATATGAAGAAAAAGGGGCTGGACCCTCACAATAGGGGCTGAGAGGGACCGAAAGTCTTTGAACAATTACTCTTTAACGATCAATATTTTGTAATGCATTACTGAAGCAAAAATGTTTATCTCAACAATTTACAACTATATATTATGATATTCACATCATATGTTACATAATTAGGGGCCATAAGGGGCCAGAATGCCAGATCTTTCACGCTTTATATCTTAAAACTATAAAATATTTTGATAAGCAATATTGAACAAAAGATGTTCAAAATAATGTTCTAAACAATATGCAACCTTTCATTTTTTGCTAAACGTCCCTATTAAGGAGTTGAAGGACCGGCCCCTAAATATATCCTTTGCATATATTTTGGAAACGAAAAAGAATTTTTGAATAGTTGTTGAACAAAAAGTGTTCAAAATCATGAGAGCTTTAAGGTTATATCAATGAAAAGGGTCTGACCCTTTAAATAAAGGGCCGAGAGGGGCCAAAAGTATACAATCAATAACTCTTTAATGATCAATATTTTGTAATATATTACTGAAGCGAAATAGTTCATCTTCACACACTTTTTCTAAATAACATGATGTTGATATCATATGTTACGCAATAAGGGGTCTTTAGGGGGCCAGATTGCATAATCTTTGGCGCAATATATCT